AACGGCGTTCCTCACACTCTTGAGCCAACCGCATGACTGGGTCTGGTGATGGGCCGCACTGTGGTTCGGACTCCTGCAAGTGCACCGCCATTCTTGCGGCAGTTTGGTTTGGCTTGGGCCGCGAATTTAGGGCTTTAGGATCGCGCACACGGTTTCTTTATTAAAAAAGAAGAAGAACAAAAACATGCTAGGTCCCCCAGCTAGGTGCCCTTCTTTCCCCCTTTTTTGGGGGAGGGTTCCCCTACTAAAATAGACAAACCAGGAAAAAGTTGGTACCATCTTATTCTAATTTCTCTACTGCAGGACCTAGCATGTGCTTCAGATGTTGACCGATGTGCATTTCGGTGCCGTCCGCCTATCGGGCCGTTCGCCAACCCATTGGCCGCCTTTGAGTCAGAGGGCAGCAGCTTGAGCAGCAGCTTCTCCTGAGGGCCTTTCACCTTTTCAACCATGTGGCTGTGAGTCAAAAATAGGTACCCAACATGGAACCTGGTAAATGGAGACAAAGACGAAACCTGGAGTTTTTTGGTGATGTAATTTTGACCCACACCCATGTACGACCACACCTCAAGTACATTTAGGGTTCCTTCTCGCGTGTCTTACTTCCTAGATTTTTTGCAGGGGGCAAGGCGTGTCACGCTCAGCTTGCGTCAAAAGAATCCAATTTGATCACTTGCAAGATCAGATGTTCGTGGATGTCAAGTTTCTTTAAACCTTCTCATCCGTGTTCCCCTCCCAAGGACAGAAAGGAATCCCCCACTCAACATGGGCTCTCCATTGTTTGGAGCACCTTCAGAATGGAAGGCTTTACTTTATGTCCTGAAAGGGTCTGCAATCAGCTAGAAGAACCATAGAAAAACCCTGAGGCGCCAAGTTCTGAGACATGAGCAGCGTTGACCTCTGTGACCCCGAAGGTTGCTAGGCCTGTTGGAACCAATGGCTTTGGGAAGGCTAGACAAGAACTTGGGGAGGAGAAGCCCAATAAACAAGACGTATCCTGTGTCCAGTCTCTCATGCAACTAGCAGACAGAACGATTAGGGGTCTTAGAAACAATCAATTTCCATTGCAGCATACCGCTGCAAAGTACTAGGAACCATTTAAGACCTGTGAATACATATCCACAGTGCCTCATTTAGATAGTATCTCAAACTGAACCTCCAAATGCGAGGCATCTCCTTTGGGTCCTTTCCAAGCCCCAGGGTGCCCGCATAGCTGCAATTCAGCCCCCAAATCAAGTTTAGCGGCTTCCAACAACCTGCGGACGTCCTTAGTTCTTTGTATGAATAAAAGCCGGGTGAACCTTTGGATTTGAGGAGCATCCTTAGTTCTTCGTATGAATAAACACAGGCAGGTAGACCCTTTGCTTTGAGTAACGTCCTTAGTTCTTCGTATGAATACACCCAGGTGGACCCATTGCCCGTGGGTCTGGACATGTCACTCGCTGCGCGCGACTGCGCCAGGTGCGCATCGACACCAGCAGCTTACCCCGGGCCATGGCAGGGGCCCCGAGGCCCCCAGGTCGGTCGAGCCGCGCGCGAGCGCGGCCGCAACACGGGGTGAGGTGGCCAAAGGTTTTTTGTTTTTGTTTCCCCCGTTTTTTGAGGGATTTTGTTTTGACACCTCAGCCGATGATTGTTTTTTTTTTTGGGGCGGCCCTTGTGAACTTGGCGCCCCTTTCGATGAGCAGAGGAATCCAAATTGAGTCCATCAGCCATAGGAAATCACTGAGGTCGAGGGGAGTTCATTTGCGACGCGTGAATTGCAACATAGCCATGTATACTTTGAGGAACTTGTTTTGATCCGGCAGGATCCCAACCCTGACGGCAACCACGTGCTCGCAGGTTGACATCATTTCGACAGCAGACTCTAAGTGAGTGATGATTTTGAGAAGTTTGTGATGTATGTCCAGATTGCAGCACTGTGCATTGGGGGTTAAGCAATATGGCCATGAACCTTGAAAGTCGGTGGAAATAAATCCCCACCCAAATGCTGTCTACCAAAGGCTTCCCAATTAAAGTTCCAACCCCACATACATGCACGATGCTTCTTTTCAGAAGCCCTTTTTGGGTTGTTTTAAAGGAACAACTAAAGGAACCGCCATTATTTCTACTGATGCCCTATTTGAATACATAGCCTATATCAACCAACCTGTAAGAAACTGGGCCGATGCATTGCCTTGTCTTAGCCCTTGGCGTGTGACGGCTGCACAATGCCGCACCATGCGTTGCTTCGAGGGGAAGCTACCTGAAAGTGGGCCAGTTGCGGTGGGCTACAAGTTTGATGACTTGGGTAGCATTGCCAGCAACCTCCCAGACTTGCATTTCGTCACCATCTCTCATCCCATGTCCACGTGCCTTCCGGTGCAAGTTGCTTGTTCGAAGCCACTGCCCGTGTTTCGCCGGGCACGAGAGGCATCATAGAATGTTTGCCGACATAAACAGGGTACCGGACAAAGAACAGCGTGCAGTCAACTGAATCAGTGGTGCTCAGTCAAGAGAGTTAGAATCAATTGTGGCACATCAAAGGTTGTGGTGGAGAGTCTTTTGGCCTGGAGATTTTGAAAAACGAGACTGCGGCTCGTTTGATTTGGCAGACGTGGAGAATCAAGGGCCTGCATACAGCATAACCGCTTCAAGCAAAGGCATGGCTGCTGTTTCTGCCGGTACATCTCAGCTTCCAACTGCACCTGGTTCACTTGTTGAAAGTATAGATGATTAGATTATGTACTTCGACCAGACGTTTTGCGGGATCTCCTCCAAGAGGGCGGAATATGTTCAGGCGAATGCAGCAGAATCAGAATGGGTCTGTCGTTTTTGTTCGGGGGGCCATAGAGTAACTGGTTGGCTTCCTTTTAAAGTTTTCCCTTCAAACTGAAAGAGGGGTACCCTCCAAGAGATTCCAAGAGGAGAGATTCATACGGAGCAGACTCAGAACATGTTCTAGGTCCCCCAGTAGTGCCCTTCTTAACCCCCCTTTTTTGGGGGAGGGTTCCCCTACTAAAAGAGACTACAGAACAAGGTTGGTACCATCTTATTCTACCCTCTCTACTGGACGACCTACTGTTGTTTGGTGTGTCCAAGAGTTGGGCCCCTGCTTGAAGTTGCTCGCGGTGAGGCCATTCCAAGGAGGCAGTGATGGCAGTCGAGGCCACCGGGGGTAGTCGTCGCTTCCCTTCGCGTAAAGCGGCGAGAAGCGTCACCAGCCTGATCTAAGGGCCCAAAGTAGTTAGACCACCCTCCCCCAATTAACATGGAACCTGACGTTCGGGGGGTCCTGGAAGACCATTTTCCTTTTAAAGGGACCCTCTGTCAGGTTCCATGTTAATTGGTGGGAGGGTAAGGCCGCGAGCTATTTAAGCAAGACATAAGTCAGAAGGAAATGTGTGCACGTCCATTCTCCAAATCGCAGGCAGCATTGCAACGACGCCATGGTACGAGGCAGATAGGCATCAGTTGAGAGAGCAGAGAGCGTGTCTTTTCTTTTCGGGGGGTGGGGTAAAAAATTGGCCATGGCAAATGCGTGCCATACACTGTGCCACACACACACACAAGAGCAGAACCACACAACGCAAGCACACGCACACAGAAGCGTACACGCATGCACATGCACACACGAGCACAAGAACACAAGCTCAGAATCACTCAAGCTCGCATACACACACAACCGACATGACAGCACTATCACAAAGAAGAGCACAAGCACAATGTTCAAATTCGCAGGGACATGCAGATGCACGGCAAAAGAGAGGTTTAAACTTCAACCGGCTTCTTGCTTCATGTGATGCAAGCATTCACCCTGCATTCCATTGCATCCTTTGCCAGGGCACCAGTGACCAGCAACTTCGGATTGACTACGGAATGTCTGGCTATGGGCGCGCGTTGGCCTAAGCGCAAGGAATCGCAGATAATTGAGAGAGGTTTGAGGTTTTACTGGCGGGATTCAACGCAGTGTCTTGGTGGCTCCCAGCCGTCCGGTTCCTTAGCTGTTTAGCCTTTTGTTGTTTGGTGGTAGTTTCCATGGCACCTATTAAAAGTTAAACTTTTAGCGGGGGATTTGAGGGCAGCCCAGGTGTGAGATGGCTTGTTGGTGCTTTGTTGATTCGAGATTGAGTTGTTCTGCTTTATGCGCACATCGTTCGATTGGAGGAGCTTTCCAACCCCCATGTTTAGTTTGTTTGACGATGGGCAGGACGTCGGCTTGATTGCGGCTCGTCACGTAGCCCAAACCATGGCAATAAGTTCAGCTTTTTGAAGCATCCCTTCAGCGCTAGTTATTGCCATGTCTTTTCTTCGTGCACGTGTGGTGACTGGGTTTCTTCTCGGACTGAGTGCCGTGCAGCGGGAATCAGGAGCTATACCTTCCGTGGTCACAGATCGTTTTGGGAGGGGCCAAGCCCCAGCCCCGTGGTTTCACTGGGCCTCGCCGGTTGCGGGCCGGTGGCTCAAATTCGATGGTTCCTCTCCGGTCCTGACAATTTCTGCCCAGAGTTTAGAGCTTCGGTTCGTTTGCACCAAGGTGCTTGGAGAGGGACTGTGTTATGTCGAGACCTCTGCAGATGCAGACCCTCAGCATGGCATTTGAGCGTCAAAAGAAGACAAAGAAGCAACTTGGCTGGCACGGCACACTCTCCCGAGAGACTGTCACTGAGGAGGGAGTGCGCAAGAGAGTGCATGAATTGCCGTGAATATAACTAATCAGACGACTGGGGATCCAGAGAGCCATTTTCCTGTTCCAATCGTGTCAAGGAGCATCCCTAACATTTGATTGCGCAATGTGGCAGCACCTGGCATGTTGACATATCTTGGCATGTGTTGGCATGTTAGTTGGCATGTTCGTGGACACTCGCGGGCCTTTCAGCTGTAATCACAGACAGAACAGCACTAGAACCATAACACCTGCGCAAATTGTTCTTTGCATACAACATGGGAAATCTTTGTAGCAACTGAGCTACACGTAGCCAGCTCTCCTCAAGCCCGAGCCAGCTCAGACTCAACCCGCCCTTTCTGCCAAACCTTCACTTTGAACTTTGCACCATGTGTTCTGGCACCAGCCGAGGCTGGAGAAGCTTGGGGGTTGAGGGAGGATGAGTTTTGAGGCTACTGCGAAGATGATGTGAGAGGATAGAGGCCAAGCTGTTGGTTGCCTCGTGACATTAGAAGAAACCTCGCCATGTGAAGACGTCTTAGGGTTGCGACTCACGTGCTGATGGGAATGGACGGGCTTTGTAAACAAAGCCCTCCATTTGGACTGATCAGTGGTCACTTGTGTGGCTTGTGTGGCTCAAAGTTAAGCTGGGGCAAAGCGCAGGTAGGCAGCCGTTGCCACAGACTTGCCAAGGTGCCAATTTGGGGATTCCTTTTTGTATCTGTGCGGTTCAGGGCGCACACAAAGGATTGCGCCCTCATCCACCCCTTTTCTTCGTGAAACGCTTAGTTTCCGGTGGGTTTCCCTATGTCTCCCTTTGCTCAAGCAGCCGAGCAACGAAAAAAACGTACGCCCTGCTCACAAGACGCCACAAGTCCCAAGGAAGGTGTGAACAATGAGGACCCGTGCAAAACAACATGAATGGAAGCGATGATCCATGAGCATGTTGAGATTCTAAGTCTTGAAGTCGCAAGGGGGCGGATGTTGGGTCTTCACGGAACCTTTCTAACCGGCTGGGTTCATGAATGGGGTCAGCTCGTTTGAGAAGCCACTTCCATTAATGGATCGTCCGGTGACTCGAACGAAAGGCTTTTGATTTTACCAGAGCGTTTTTTCCTATGCAAGGGTCCAACATGGAAGGGTCCAACATGAGCGGCGGTTCAACCTCTGGTGCTTTGAAGGCACTTGCCCCAGTGATGGATGGCCTGGCTTCCTGGTTTTCTTTGGAGGGGGCTTTCCTTTGGTGCTTTTTGCAATCCCAGGACCGTTTTTTTTCAAGACCGCACACGATTTGGTTGTGTTTCCCCCCATGACCGCTGTGGTGTTCAAGAGCGCAAGCGATGAACGCGCCGTTTTGTTTTTTTTTCGCCGGCCAGATGCAGCTGATGCTGATTCAGGTGGGCGCGAAACAGACGGGTTGCGTGTCACCCAGACCACCGGCCGACCTTCGCTTTTTTTGATACTACCGTGCCTTTGTTTTCTTTGTTGTTGGGGGGGCGGGGGGGTAAAGAGACACCCCCAAACGGTGTGGACACCAAAGCCTCCTTCATTTCCTTAGCGGAGGCTCGAAAGGCAACTCCGAAAAGGGGGCTGCAAGCTGAACTTTCCAAAGGGTCTTTGAAGATCAGCGCCTTGGATTGCTCACTGGGCTTCACTTTGGAGCATTTCTTGGCATTTCACGACTTGGGTCGTAGGAAAGGCATACCTAGCTCCCCCAGCTGTGCCCTCTCTCACCAACTTTTTTTGGGGAGGGTTCCCCTACTAGAATAGACTACAGAAAAAAAGGGTACCCTTATTCTACCCTCTCTACTGCAGGACCTAGACACCTTGGACTGACCAGAGATTCAGACGCGTGGTGATTTTCCCGGACTCCCGGTGCTGCCTTCGGAATCAAACCCGGAGCTTCTGCGTTGAGGGCCCAATTCAATTATATAGCTATCAAGGCCGTTGTGGCAACAGGAGGTCACGCGATTTCATGATTTACTTCAGCACCAATAAGAAAAACGTCACTACTTTGGCTCGTGTGGCGATGTGTCAAAACCCCGTACCCCCAGTGAACATCCCGATCCCCACTAAAATGGGTTCTAAAATGGGTGGTGCACCTACCCCAAAATGGTAGCATTAGTCTTGACCCACAGCCATATGGGTGTTTGTTTCTGGAACACCCTTTTGGTTGGTCTTGAGCAGAAGCCAAAGGTCATCCACCTTTTTGGGGGGGATTGTTTCTCAAGCAAGGCAGGTTCACATTCATAACGTTATGGTTCCTAGAGTCCCTGACGAGTTGCCATTTTAAGTCACTCCACAGAAAGAGAGGCAGTTCTCAAAGTGCAGAGTTCGGGGAGAAAGGCGTCACAAATCTTCAGACCGTCCAAATCGCAATCCCTTCAAGTAGTCCGTCCACCGATACCTCCAAACTCAACAAGTCTGGTGGACAGCTCGGGCATCTCCTCAGCTGATCGGTTCTGATTTGAGTGCCGATCGCCGAACTCTTCGAGGTCCAAGGCAAGGCTTCCGAAAAATGGCTGAGCTTCTCAAAATGGGATGTGGACCCCCTTTGTTACGTAAAACCAACAGGACACCCACGTCTTCAAGGGACCGAATCCTATCTTGAGAACAGAGAGTTCTGACCTCGCGCTCGAGTAGTTCGGCAATGTTACTTGGCCGGATCTCCGCCTTCAGCCCCGCTAGACCCCGCTGGACAGGACGCTATGTTGAGGGCAAATATGGGGCAGATGGGTATGTATCATACTGATGGACCAGATCCGTTTCGTACCACTCAGAAATGGAATGATTCGATTCCCCCAGTACATACCAACTGAGCACTGGTTTCGTCCAGGCCCGAAACAATTGCACGGAACCCCTGTGGCTTGCCTTTTAATCCACCCAAACACGGTACCCTCCACAAATCACAGACCTATATCAGCTTCACCGTGGTGGCTTGGTGGGTCAGATTGTTGGTGATTCTTCCTGGTTCTTGTAGAAGGCAAATGCGAAACCACCTTCAAACTTCCCCAGAACTAGTTCTGCTTTTTATTTTCTGGTTTTTTGGGGGTCCCCTTTGTTTTCCACTACCCAGGCAAAACCTTTTTTTGCAGGGGTCTTAATTCCAGCCAAGCAAACCCTCAATCCAAAACACCAATTAGGCGGTCGCTGATGCCATCAGGACTGAAAGTGGTGTATTCTGTCATGCTAGTTTTGCATGTGTACAACCTCCTGTACCGGCTGTCCTCAGAAACAATGGAGGCTTGGCAGGTAGCGTGCACCCGAACTTTGTTTTCAGCCCGACCACTTGGATGTTAGAACTCTTCCCCGTGGAGATAAGCCCTTGACACGTGGGTGGCTAGGATTTGAGTGGGCATGTGTCAAAATAGGAGGGGGACCCTCAAAATAGGAGGTGTTCCTTGCTTCCCTTTTTTTCGAACCAAAAAGGCTATGCTCAAGAAAAACACATCTAGGTCCCCCAGTAGTGCCCTTTCTCACCCTTTTTTTGGGGAGGGTTCCCCTACTAAAATAGAAAACAGCAGAAAAACTGGGCACCAACTTATTCTAACCTCTCTACTGGAGGACCTAGACATACACACGAGTAGACGGGTCCAGTGTCATCGTAGGCTCCCTGATCTCCCGGCTGCGCAGAGAGTTTCGGAGCGGCCAAGGCGAGTCGACGAGTCGAGTCGCAAAATAAACTCTCGGGGGACCAAAAGGGTTGAACTCCAGTTGGGTATGGGTCAAAATTACACCAGGCGACCGCAGGTTTTAGTCCATGGTTCCATTTACTCGGGATCCATTTTGGGTACTTTATTTTCACCCACACCCAGTTCTCTTTTGGTTCTCTTGAACACAACAGCAGGGTACCGAGCCTCAAAAACACAATCCAAGATTTACCTTGAAAGGAAACACATGTTGACCATTCACCACCTGAGCAGGGTTCAAAACCTGGTTGTATTGCGATTGAAAGGGGGTGGTCATAAGGGTCCCACGCGTAAGGAAAACACGTGGCGGCGTAAGGCCGCGCAAGCGTTTTTTCGAGGAAAGTTTGTTGCGTAAGCGGTTTG